TTCCTATGTTTAGTGTCAGGAGATACCCTGATACAACATTTGAAGTAGACCAAAGTAAATACCAAGTATTTTTTGGGTGCAGGTTGCCAGCACAGCTCCTGCTGCCCATGCCCAGAGTCCATGTCAGTCAACAGTGCAGGACTACGGGGAATCCCCCTGAGGAGCACAGAGTTGTGATGCTCAGGGCTGACATTACCTTTCTAGTCCCCTGAACCACCAGCCTCCCTTCAGCATCAAAACTTGGCTATTCCTACTGCCCTAAAACCCTGCACAGCCAACAGCATGAGGTGAGACACAGGGAGCAGGGGGCTGTGTGCTCAGCACAGAGATCAGCTGCTCTGAAATACTGCAGGCAAACTCAGAGCAAATAAAGGGGCAAGGAAAAATGGTTGTGTCTCCTCTGATGGCTTGGCTGGCAACCAAGGGAGAAAAGAGGAAGCATCCTTCTGTTCAGGTCTTGTCCCCATCTCCAAGACTTCTTCCACATTGAGCCATTCACACTTGTACGAAGCAGCAACATTGAAGTCAATGATACAACTGGATAGAGAGAAGGGTCATACTTTGTGACAGGATATGACATGATGCAAACCCCCATCTACGTGAGATCAAAAAGGCTGCTGGTAGGAACAGGAACATGGGCATATGGAAAAATCCAGCTCCTAGAATGACTTATTAGACAAAAATAATTTTAAAGGTTGTTTTAAATTCAATGCTTAACTCCCTTCTGCTCAATTAGTGAGGCAGTTAGTTGACTATATCACTACATTAGAAAACAGAATTCCTTTCACATGCAGAACATGTAAAATAGTGCCAGTTGTGACTGAGTAAGCCCCTTCTATGATGTCTTTTAAAAGGCAATATGTGTTTGGGTAAGTAGCTAGTGTATTCTCAAGGAAAGTTTATTTCACCAGTGTTCACTCTGACATCAGCTAATTACAGAAGTACTGAAGCTACCAGTGGTGTCATGGTAATTGTAGCTGATGTGTACAAGGCACAAAGAGCCAATAGCCATGAAACTGCTTCTCACTATCACTTCACAGAAAGTGCTTTCACTTCTCGGAGCACTGTAGTTACTTGCACCTTCACAGCTCCACAATTTATTGGTCATTTCAGAGTCATAGAAATCCAGGCAGAGATGAAGTGAGGCAGGCATGAAAGACTCAGGAGAACTCCCCTTACCCAGAGGGGTTTCACTTCTGTTTGGATAGAACACTAAGTCATCTCTCAAACTCCACCAGACTCAGATAGAGCTGGGCTGCAAATTTCAGGCAAATCAGTTGGTCTTTAATTCTAAAAAAAAAATGCCTTAAATAGCCAGAGGACCCCTACATTCAAAGTTTTGAGCTTTAGAAACAACTTTGGGGGCTAGGGAGGGAGGCTCTGTACAGCACGTCCATATATCTAATGAGACAATAATTAAACATTTAATTTCCCAATCATGCTTTTGATCTGGTGAGCAGTGTTGTGGTTTAAAAGCCCTGTCAAACTTACAGATGCAAAATAAAACCTGCTTAGCATGCGGAGCAGCTCTTCAATTTCTGTCAATAACAGTGAGGACAGGTGTCTCTTCTATATAATGCTTGTAGCTCAAGGATCCATCTTCTCCAACAGATTTAGACCTTCTCCAAGAACACTTGGCTTCAGCTCCAAACTGAATCCTGAGTTTTCAGAAAATTACAGCTCTGATTAGATTTATGAGTTGATTAAGAGGCTTTCCAAGTCCAAAATTTGGGTAGTTGCGCTATAACAAGCTGTTCCACTACAAAACCCTAAAGGCAAAGCCAGTTTCAATTCTAATTTCCAAGAACAGCGTGTACTCTGAAGACATGCTGCACGCTGCAAGGTCTGCCTGCAACAGCACCTTCAAGAAGTCACACCTATAGTCACATGCCATCAGCTGTTACAGGTCTGATGGACTTGACCTCTATAGCTCTTACCTGGCCACAATTACTGTGATATCTCTGGACTCCCATCTCTAAACATTACAAACACAGCACCCAAAGCATAGCTCAGCCACAGCACCTGCAACAGGGACTCGTCCTCATACACACTGGACCATCACAGCCACAGCAAGGTTGTGCACTCACACAGCACTGTGGATGTATCAGAGCGAGACAAGCACGAACTAGGGATGGACAGCAGGTTAAGCAAGGACTGAGTAAAACTCAGCACAGGCAGCAACACTATCCCAAAAAACCCTTTGTAGCCCTAACCAGGCCTCTGCACTGCTTGGGCTGGTGTGCTGCTGCCACGTGAGGCAGCTGCGATGGAATAAACTGGGGCCTGACGTCACGATGATGCAGCTGCACCGGATAACAGAAAGCCCTCCTTTGGCAGCAAACAGCCTTGAAAAAGTAATTAGTTTTCCCAGAGTTATTAGGAAAGTGAGTAATCATGTGTACAGCTACAGCAGTGCTGTAGACACTGCGCTCCGACTGAGGGAAAGGCAAAGCTGAAGTGAGATTTGTTTGCAGTTGTAATTGTTCTCTGCCCTGACTTTGTTCAAGCAGCTACAATTAATAATCTCTAAATTTCAACATCAAAAGCTGAGATAATTAAATAGAGGCAAGGTCAGACAGAAAAAAATAATTTTTTACGTTACATTAATTTTTTCGGCTGAGATGGTTTTCTTTTTGAGCTGATATTAAGAGCATACATATTTTAAGTAAGTCCCACCGGCCACACATGCCATCAGCAGAGTGCAGCATAGCAAAAAATAATTGAAGTAATTGTTTTTAAGGACAAAGTATATTCACTTCAATTTAGCGAAGATTACAGTTTACATAGCTGAAAAGAAACCAGACATGAACCTCTGCACTGAAATTATTTCCATACTGAAAGTAATTCTTCAGATTCTTCTCTGTGAAGAGAAAAGCCCTGGATATCATAACCTATGTGTGGATCAAAGTAGCACAGTGGAAGAAAGCCCTGTTGATGCTAAAGTCTGCACACAGGGAAAAAACTACAAAACACAGACAAAAACTCCAGGACCCAATGTTCAACTACAGCAATGAGAGCAGGAGAATATTCTTAGCCTGGAGACAAAAATAAATTAATGTAATTACTCCAAACAACAAGAAAAAATCTATTACAAAATGGAAGAGAAATTTGCCTGTCAACTAAAGCAAAACAGTTTAATACATTCTAATTTAAATGAAAAGTGAAAAAAAGAAAAGAGAACCTAGGTGAAAAAAAAATAAATCACCTTTTCCTCCCAGATCCTAAAACTAGAGACTGTTTCAAAACATTAGAAGTTTTTCATGGAGCACAGCATCTGGGACCATTTCACACTGAAATCACATTAGCACATCTCTTTCATAGTGCAGCCAGGTTGGTTCTCACTTCTTTAATAACTAACCTGTAAAACCTTTTCTATCCACCAAATAAGCAAGTTTGTGCTGCTACAGAATATCCCACTGTAAGGACAAATCTATCTTGTGATTAACTCCACAACAGCAGAATCCCACCAGGGATGAATTAAACAACATCATTTTTCCACCTTTTCCAAAAGGAGGACTCAGGTATTTTCAAATCCTTTTCCATTCATCTCTGCTCACAGCATGTGTAGCTTGCAAAAAAGTTCCCTTTATCATCTTCTGTAATTAATTTTCCCTGAGTAGAAAACAACACACCCATGAGAAACTTGTGCTTGGTCTGCAGGGAACTGCAGCATCATGTATCAGAAGTGGCCTCGGCATATTTGGCACGTTGCTGCATTGATTCATTGCCCTGTCACTGAATATAACTGGATGTTTATTAACAATGAAAACAAATACATTTTATCTTCTATGCCAAGACCTGTTCTTCTGAACAAGAGAGAAGCACTAAGAAGAAAATGAGATATTAATATGCTTAAAATAAAAATCTAGAGCTGGCGTCATGGTATGTGATCTAGTGATTACCACATGAGGAACACGAAGTTTAACACGACATATGAACTGTCACAACTCCAGTTTGTTTAGATTTTTCCATTCTCAGCATAAAGATAGGCTGTATAAACCAGCATCCTGTTTCTACAGGGTATTAGCAGAGAGACAGGGAAAGGTATCTAGGTACACACCACAGGTATTAGCTACCTGGCCTCGATATTCTCATACTCACTGATCATTTTCCACTTTTCAGGGTTTCCTGAATCAATGATTTTATGATTCGACAACACTCAGGGAATTCAGTGTTCACTAATCCCCTCCACATCTCCCTTGACAAGCGCAGCTGCCCTGGGATGGATGCAGCCACCATCCAATCACCTCCCACAGGTAGAAGCACAGCAGAGACAGGGGACACGGGAGTGAGACTTCTGGTCACAGTCTGCAGCAAGAGCCTGGTGATGCTCAGAGACACCCGCCCTATATCCAAGGGATTACAAAACTGCATCACAGGACACACATCCTTGGACCCAACAGCTGCTCCAGCAACAAGAGTCCTCTAAACTTCAGTGTTGGGTAGCTTTGTGATAGTAACCACACAGTAGCTTTGAAACCAAACCCCAGGAACGAATATTCCTGCTCCCTGCTGAAGACAGGCAGAAGCCCAGTGCCAACTGGGGCTGACTGGCTCCTGGGCATGTCTTGTACTCAACACTCAGCCTGCATCCTGCTCCAGCAGGAAACATCCCGAAAATCTGATGTCAAACACAGCATTAAGCATGGTGAAAATACAGCTCTTGAAGGCAATCTTGAATCAAGACCATTTACCGTAAGTCACTCCTGAAATGATTCAAATAACATCTATTCTGCAATGAATTCACACTCCACTGCTAACAGGGTGTCAGAGAGACTTGCTCATGGGCACAGAGTCCTTCCTCCAAAGCAGACAGTAGCCATCTCTCATAAATCATTGTACACCAGAAGCACCATCTGCAATAACAAATGAGACCTTCAAGGCATCTTTAAAGTCTTGGGTTTGCTACATTAAGTTTGAAGCTTGTAGCTATGTCTTTGGTAGAAGAAAAGATTCCAACAGCACTGTACTGTGCATGTCACTATTTAGGGAATGAAGAGATAGTGCCACACTGCTCTAATTAATAGAGACTCAGTATCCTCAGTCCATGGCCAGGAGACAGAACAATGGTAGCTGCCCTCTCCACTACTGCTTTGGGGGTTTAGGACACATTTAGGTGAAGCAGACTTACAGCACAGAAAAAATAGTAAAAAGCAAAAGGAGAAAAAAATGCTCTTTGTGACTGCCATCTGCACTGGACTACAATATAAAGCATCAGTTCCTAACCACCCACCATCTGAGACTGTTTTCCAAAGGACATCTTCCTTTTTGCAGGTACAGCATGTGCTCGGCAACACCTGCAGTTACTCTCAAGGGTTCCGACTTGCAAGTGCACCTTAGCAGCAGCATTGACAAGGGCCATATTTCATTCCATACATATTTACTGATTAACAACCACATTACAGCAGAGTACATGTTGAAGGCATACGTACCAATACTACAGAACTGACAGACCTGCCCGTTGTGGGACATTCAGACTTACAGCGAACCTTCTGCAGCATCAAGCAGGTAGGTCTAAGTACTGAGCTCACCACAGCTCAATTCTGCCCAATTGAGGTGGGAGGGTCAAAATTAAAGAGGGGGAATAAAAAGAATCTTTGCAACTTTGAACACTTGTTTTGTCTGGCAGCAACATTAACGGTATTTGCAGTTATCAAGTGTAACAATTCACGTCTTCATTCTCATCACATCTTGGCACAGGGAGAGAATTAAAGATGTCACATTTGCCAACTACCCATATTAAAATCACATGGCTGCTGTATAAACTTTCAATTATGGAGGATAGAGGCTGAGGGTGGAGGAGATAATCCTTATAAGAACTACTTCAAAGGGAGAGTATGGATGAGATTTCAGAAAGGCTAACTTAGAAGCTGTGTGATGTATCTGTTGTTTTGATATCAAGGTCATTCTTAACACTTAGACGTGGTTTTCACAAAGGAAGTCTTTTAAAAATATTTTCTCTATTTGTTTCTGCAAATCAGCTGATTCTAGTCATAAAAATCCCATTAATTGAGTGCCACACAAATCATCAAAGAATTCCTTCGCTGTTCAAAGAATAAGACAAATAAGGCACAAGACAATCAAGGAACCCTGTTTACACCAAGCTGAGGAAACCCTAAGCTCAAGCCCAACACAAAACAACTGGAATCATTTCAGCTCACAGAGAAAGTGAGCTGAGAATGCCTGAGTCATTTCCCATTTGCTCCCCTGCCCCAAGCCTGTGTGCTGTGGATTAGTTGATTTTTTCACTATACACCACACTAACTTGTGCATACAGGGGAGTTCAAGCTATGCATTTTGAGAATAATGCACTATGTGAAGTCTGGTTTTATCTATTAACTATGCATGGTGCTTTCATAATGCATGCATTTCATCCCCACAAGCCCTGTGCACTGACAGCTTTCAAACCTTGCCACCTTCAGGGTGCCAAGAGAACAACAGAATGGCCTGCTGTCCTATCAGACCCCGATGCAAGTTTCAGGGCTTGTGAAGCTGGCTGGCAAATATCCCAAGGGACTAATAACAGTGCTTCACTGCATACAGCCACATCTCAGTGATTCAGTGGAAGATAACTTCTCTCTGTTTTTCAAAAGCATCTTTCTCAGCCCACAAGTGCTCAACCAGGCAACCCTGTGGGGCATGGAGGACACAGACTTTGTGCAATGATGCTCCACCAACTGCTAGAGTGGGATGTACGCCTTGGTAAATGAAAGGTTTTCATCTGGTTTTCTCACTAGAAACCAACAGCAAAACATGGATAGCCAAGCAAAAAAGCTGAAGCAAACAAACCTTAGGATTTGTTTCCTCTCTGTGTGCCTCCTATTAGGTTAATTAGTTTTATCTGTCTACGCAGCAGAAGACTACAACACACCAGAGGAGCCAGGGTTGCTCATTTCTGAAAACTCCACTCCTCAATAATGCTGCATCCTGGCAGAGAGTCACACAACAGGAATGGGGAGAAAACAGTGATTTTAATGTATCTGTGAACGGTAAATACAGAAGAAACTCAACAACTTTCAGTATTTTGTGCCCTTCAGCCAGTGATAACTCAGATAAAAGATAAAACTGAGATTTTACTCTTGTTCTTTAACAATCATCAAGAATGGATAAGAATAAAAACTGAGATACTGAAAGGGATTTCAGCACAGAAGAACTGGAGGTCCCACATGGTTGTTACTGAAATGCTCCCCAAACATTATCACCACCGTCCAGATGACAACATACTAACTCAAAAGTGCTGTGACCAACAATAAGCCACTTGGAAGCCCAGGATTACACACATATCATCTGGCATAAAGGGAAAGGTGATGATAAGGAACTGAAAACTAGGAACTGTTATTTTAATAAATAAAGGCCCAGTGGTGAATCTATCTAGTAAAATTAAGGACCATATAAGGTGGGGTTTAAGGCAATTAAAGATTACTCCAATGCTGTTTCAATCTGTTCCGTATGGTAGGGGTCAAAAAAATTACAAGATATTTTTAACACTCTTCATTGCACAGGGACAGTAGTTCAGTGGTGTATGCACGTGTTACATCATCGGTTCTGCACTCCTCATTCTACTACCAACTAAGCAGAATCTGAAAGTGCAGTTAATTAAACAGAACCTAAATTCAGCAGGTTTGGATGACTTGCACCACAGTTTTAAAAGAACATCCTGAAACACTCTTTTATTGATACCAATTTTAAATATGTTGGGCACATAGAAGTCGCAGTAGCTGGAACAAAATTTGCTGATGTGCTAAGTATTTTAAGAATTAAATAGAAAATCCTAATAATGATCTCCAGAAAACTGAGTATGATAAAATTAATCTGTATAAATTGGAAATTCTCCAGAACACAAAGTATCTAGTATTATTGACTTTTAAAAAAAGTATAAAATACCACCCTTTAACACGATTTTAGTCAATTAAATGACACTGTTAACTTTTTTATACAGAATTTAGCTTCACGCTACATAATGATTTGATTAAGATGAGGAAATATCTATTAATGGATGAAAATAATTTCATGCAGTGGTGATTAAATAGTCATAGGTATACATGTACGTTCCTACCGAGGGCTTGGTAGAGGCTGCTCCTTGGCCCTATGGTGTAAACACATATTAATGAGTGGAAGAGAGTCTATAATTATTACTTATCAAGCCTGAAAATGGCAAACAATGTGGGAATGCTAAAATAACTGAGAAGAGAACAACAGATCCACATGTCTAAATAAACTCCACCAGGGAACACAGTATAGACTTCAGTACTGCCACACACACACACAAAGCAACATGCATGGGGACAGCATCCTGTGAAGCCATTGATTTTCAGAAACTTCATGATCAACATGTAATTAGAGAAGTTGAGCACACTGTGCTGGAACGGTCCAGTGCTCAAGAGAGCTCAGAGAGGCTTGGGATGGGGGATGCACAAATAAGATAAAAAAATAAATCAGCATGTGGCATTTAACACTGTCAAAATTATGTTAAGTTTTAATGCTTGCGATCCAAGAAGGATATTGGAAAACTGGATCCAGTGCAAAGAATCTCCAAGAGGATGATTAAAGGACCAAAAGCTCAGCTTAGAGAGAGGCTCCAGAACCACCATCTGTTCTCCCTAACAAAGGGAGAAGGTTAATGGGACAATCTGATCACAGTTTACAAGTACCTACGTAAGGAACAGAAATTTGATCAAAGAGCTGTCCTTTAGCAAATCCAGCAAATTTGCTCTGTCCAGCAAATCAGACAAACTCAGGCCCAAACCAAGACATGTTTATGATGTTTAACTCTATCAGTTAATGCTCATGTTGACAGTATTACCAGTACTGATACCTATCAGTAAGGCTGAATGCAGGACAGTAAAAACTGTCTTGGATTTTCCATCACAAGTTAAAAACATGATGGCACGATTTTTTTTTCCCTCCTACTCAGAGGCAACTTTCTAGCTAAAAAAAGGAATTAATTCAGAGCAGCCAGGGAATTATTTTCATAGCACAGACTTCACACGAGCAGCTCTGTGTGTCCCATGAGACCCCTACAGCAGGAGCATCACTCCAAGGAAGGGACTGTGGTGTGTCGCTAGGGACAGGCTCTGTCATTCTGGCAGCTATCAGGAATTAAAGTTTTAAGACTAAAGCTTCTCTGCTGTACCATGGGCAGGCCAGCATTCCCCCACCAAGCTGGTATTTATCCCAGTACCTCATCCCTCAGCATCTCCCACAAAATGTGACTATTGCAGTTAGAACATGCACATTCACATGGAGCCTGAACTCCATGGAGCTGCAGCTCAGGTCACATTCTGCAGCACCCTGGGCCACGCAGTAAGGCAACACCTATATAATCCTTTTTTAGAGAAATCTCATCTTTAAATTAAACAGTCATTTTTTATTGTAACTTATTTTTATAAAGATTGGGGGATATTGCTTTCTTTCAAATGCTCTTTGGCTCTAGAAGCTGAGGGAGCAGAGCATCATTTGCAAGGCCCCCAATGTAGACCAGTTGTTTCAATAGGTTTTGCTGAGAATAACCCTTGGAGGTGGCCTTTAGGATAAACACACCCCAGTCACAGGCCTGGGCAGCCTATTTAACAGTTACCTTGTTAATAACCCAGCAGGGTTAAGGAATAAGTAGAATCATAGAATGGCTGGATTGGAAGGGATCTTGAAGATCTAGTTCCAACTAGACCAGGTTACATAGAGCCCCATCCAGCCTGATCTTGAACACTGCCATGGATGGGGAGTTTGCAACCTCCCTGGTAATTTAAGCTCTTCAGCATATTTTCTTAAAGAGCTCTTTTGGCTCCTGTGTGCCATAGGTTTGTGCCAGGACACTTCCTCAGGGCAAGGAATTAGAGCACAGAAGCAAGTGGAGCCGGTGTTGCAGTGTAGTATACTTTGAGGGAGAGCCCAAAGGATACATGAAGTTCCTTGGACTCCCCACCTCAAGCCCCAGTTCTCTCACTATGGGTTATGAAAGCATTTGTAGCTCCAACCTTTTGGTACAAACCTATTCCTCCTCTCCTGTCCCACACACTTAAGTGCAAATCAATGCTTCCTGCCCTACACACTGCATACAGGCACTGTTTTTAAGGGAAACACAACTACAGAGCAGAACCTAATACCTCAAATCAGATGCGCAAAAACCTACTGGTGGATTTCTAGGTATGAAGGCCTTGGGGAGAAGCAGAGAGAGTTTGGCTAGAGGCAGAGGCAGCCTATAGAGAAGCCAGTAGGAGGCTGGCAATGTGTAACCATTTATTAATTCAGTTTGTAAGAGCCAGACCCATGCAGCAGCCTCTAAAGGCAAGGCTCCGCTGAAAAATTCCCTGCCCTGTCCCTCTGCCGAGCTTGCTGCTCCATTCCTGTGTTCCTGCACGGAGCCACTGCTGTTTTGGAGGGGGAGGGAGCCCATCCCTCTCTGGCAACGCAGGCACCTCATGTAAATTCATTGAATAAATGCAGTCATTTCTCTCAGCTGATCCATCCCCACGTGTGCATGTTGAAGCTGTGCCAGACCCTCAA